AGTTACGGGTTTTGGACCTATCTAACAATAATTTTGTTGGTCCTTTGCCTGTGCACTACATTGAAAATCTCAAAGCTATGGTAAATGCTCATGAAGATGGCAACAACTTTGCACAATACATGGGGGGAAGATTTTCATATGAATATTCAATAATGGTGACAATGAAAGGATTTTTCATTGAACTAGAAAAAGTTTTGACCATATTTTCATGCTTTGATCTCTCAAAAAACAACTTCGGCGGAGAAATACCAATAGTTATTGGAAAGCTTAGTTCTCTCAAAGGACTTAATCTTTCTCATAACAACGTTAATGGTTCTATCCCACATTCACTTGGGAACTTGACCAGTCTCGAATGGTTGGACCTGTCTTCCAATGAGCTAGTTGGGGAAATTCCGCAAGAGTTGGTATCTTTAACATCACTTTCTGTTCTAGACCTTTCCAACAATCAACTTGACGGATGTATACCACAAGGCAATCAATTCAACACCTTTGAAAACAGTTCGTATGAGGGAAACCCTAGGTTATACGGATTTCCATTAACAAAATCTTGTGATGGAAATGGAACGTTGCAACAACCACTTGGCTCCTTCCATGGAAAAGATCATGAGTTATGGGAATTTGGTTGGAGAGTTGTGCTGCTAGGGTACGGATGTGGATTGGTGTTTGGACTACTAATGGGGTATTTTGCCTTCCAAACTGGAAAACCAAAATGGTTTGTGACTTTGTTTGCTGGCCAACATAATCAAAAAGCAAGGAATGTGAAGAAAGGTTGAACATGTGCTCAAAGAAGAACTTAATTGCAGATTTGGTGACTAAGACCTCAGTGTTCCCTAAATGTTCTTGTTTTGATTGAATTGTGTTTTTTTATGACATACATAACCTTATCATCTTCTCTATGTACTTCGTAATTCTCTATCTCTGTTAGAAAATATGTTTAAAAGGTCCGTTTAATGTAATTACTGTTGAATACAATAAACTTAAATAAATTTCTATAATTTGTTTCATTCAATAACTACCGGCCATGATAAGGTAGAATCTTGGTGTGGCTCTAGTGTGGAATGAAGTGAGTCTATTGATGCCTTGATCCCACATATAAGATTTGTATACTTCAATTTTTGGCCTTATTTCTAATACCGTGTGATTGCTAATTTTCCTCTTAGAAAGATAAAAGGTAGCAAGTTCAAATTTTAAGCAAAGAAAAAGTTTATAATAGCTGGTAGTTCACTGTTTTAAGTTTTTTAATTGAATAGATAAAAAGTTAAAAAAGTTAATAATATTTGGTAATACATAATCAATCCCCACAATTTTAATTTTATCATTTCATAAGCTTTTTCAACCAAAAGCTTTGCAAAAGCTTTATCCATCATAATCGTGCCATGCTGCAAAATCTAAACAACGAAAGTGCCTGCCTTGCTCCAAACTTTGATACACATACAACTCATAGCTCACATTACAAGCCAACCATAATTGGATATCCAACTCTTTCACTAGCTGTAATATAGCTACTAAAATAGCTATAAAATTGAATTATCACACATCATGTACAACAGGATTACAATCCCCCTTCCACCATATTATGTTGAGATGAAGGAGACCCCAAGAATAAATCGTGCTTTCCATGATTACATCATTTCATAATGCTAGACTCAAATACAACTCGACCCTTACCGAGAAAAGACCATTGCATTTTGTCAATGGACAAAAGCACTATGCAGATGAAAGGAATGGCTTTCCCTCTCAACAAGACACTTGGCTGAAGGAGTACAAGGACAGCCGCAGCATGTCATCTTCAGACAAATCAAGCTGATATTGGCTTGTATGGATATGATAACCATGGGTGCTTTAGAGCCTCAGATGTAGTAGGCCGCTTTTTTGGGTTTATCTCTCAAGCAAATGAGCAACAAAATCAATAAAATCCTGATCTCCCATAGGCAAACGATGCCTTAAAGATGTCCTTTTTGGAATCAGGTATTCCAGTCTTTTGGTTTCCTGAATAATTCGAGTAACATAAACCATTTAGATATAAGCATGGGAAAATATTTGATGAACATAAAATCAAAAACCAGACAAGTAAATTTACAGACAAAAGTATTCGGTTATTGGCGAAAAATCAATATACTTCTCATGTCGAATCAGGATCAACTAGGACAGAAATAAAGCATTGGGTCGAACTCTTCTTTGGTGTCAAAGTAATAGCTATGAATAGTCATCGACTCCCCGGAAAGGGTAGAAGAATGGGACGCATAATATAATGATAACTGCAACCTTAAAAATGTTATATTAGAGAGGAGGAAAGTATGGTAAAACATCTGGATAGGTTCAATGGAAAAGCATACACAATTGAGCAAAAGCCAAAAAACAGATGCTGAAGCTCAATGGACATGTCAAAAGCTTTGGTAAAGAAATAATCCAACACTAGGACACTGAAACTAAAATACAATGATGTGATTATTTAGATGCTGTAGCATAATTAAATCGAATGCAATGTTCTACCACAATTGTTGTTCCTCAAACTTTAATCTTCATATCTGCTGTGTATAAATGTTGTTTCTTGGCTTTCTTCCTTACATTCCAGCATATCAGCATTGTTCCTCAAGACAGAAAATATGAGAAATTAGTATTAAACTAAAGTAAACAAGAGGAGAAATAATATTAAATAATGTTCACAAAGATGAAGAAATGGTGGGCTGAGGCGTGGATTAATCATTCTCTTTAGGATGTTTCGTGCTACTAATGCAGTAGTTTTTTATAGTCACCCTGCTCTCAGGATACAACAGCCCAACATTCTTTGTTGTGGCTTTACAAGAACTGTACCCTTGTAAAGCAAGCTCCACACCACCACCTTTCCTTGCCCAACAGAGAATAAGAGTGCAGCATAGTTCTTTTTGTAACAGCTTATAACACAAATGGAGGGTTACCTATTTTTAGACTTTCAAATTGTAACCATAATATAAATATTAATTTAAATGACTAATTAAATCAAAATCATTGCACAATGAATATGCAAACGGTTGCAATAAACATTTCATTTATTTTCCTTTGAGAAACGCATGCTCATTGAATTTGCAAATCAATTTTTAATTAAAATTTACAATAACAATTACTTAATTACTAATAATAATGTAGTTTCTTGTCTCAGCTAGTAATACAAATACTGTCATAAGTCATAACCAAGCATATCATAAGTTTACAACTTCTATACATCAACTGCCTCATGGACACAAAAGCAAATATAGTATAAAAAAGATAGTTACCTGATTACGCTCATAAAGCATGTGATTCTTAGTGAAATATTTGTATGTACCACGTCCCTTTGGCAAGCATGTCTTGATCAATGGGACAAATGATTCCAATAACCCTTGCAAGTAATGTTGCTGGTGAATCATTTCGGAAAAGGACCTACACCAAAGTTTCATTGATACCAATTTGCAAGTTTCAAAGTGATCAGTTGCAATAGTTTCAAGTGATATAGATTGGAATGAGATACAGGAGTCTAGCTGAACTCTAAGCATCTCTTAATTCATATGTTAAAACTTACATTGCCAGTCCAAAGTTCTGCCAAGATGCAGCCAAGTGACCAGATGTCTATCTTCTTATCATATGGAAGCCCCAGGATAACCTCTGGTGCACGATACGACTTGGATTGAACATAAGAACATAGATGATCTGTCTCAAAACAGCTACTCCCAAGATCAATGACCTTGACCTCACATCTACTGTAGCTTTTCACTACTATATTTTCAGGCTTTAGATCACAATGTATAAGACCAAGACCAGGCAAAAATTGAAGTGCCTCCAAACATTGAATGGCAATTGACTGCATTGAACATTTTGAAGGAATGAGAATACAGTAGGACATATCAATTAGAAGCTCATTGCAATATGATACTACCATACCTGTAATCTTGGCATTGTGAAATAAACCTCACTCACTAATTCTCTATTAAATTTATGAAACTCGTATAAGTTTGCCTTGAGAAGTTCACATACAATTAACAAATGTTCCTGAAAAATAAAGGAAATTCAGCTTTTACTTAAATCAGAATTTGTCAAAAACTGACATGTGTGGAAACACTTGAAACAATTGAATAGAAACCAACAAACACGAAAGAATCTACTGTAGAACTAGCTATATAGCACTACTGCATTGAAAGAAGTCAAATATCTGCCACCACAAATTTATGTGCCACAGCAACACCCATTTATTCACTTACCCGGTAGTAGAAGTAATCATACAGCCGGAGAATATGGTACTTATCAGCAGGATCATGCTTGTACACATACTTGAGAAGCTTTATCTCATCGAGACTTTGATAAAAAAAATCCTTCTTGTTCTTTATGATTTTCACACAAACATCCATGCCCGTATGTAGGGTAGGTCATGTGCCTATATGGCTTTGCTGAATGTAGTAGATCCAAGGTACTCAGTAACATGATAGCGCCCTGCCATGACAGAATTTAGAACAACATGGAAGTTCTTGTCCTCCTCAAAGCCAGTCCTGAAGAAAGGGGCAAATTCATGTAAAGAAGTCTGCTCAAATAGTTCTAGCAAAATGAAACCAACTTTGACATAATAATCAGGCAAGTGAATTTTAAAGCAAAAGCCAGAGCACAGTAACTAGTATCATTTTATCTCATAAAGAAGGTATCTTTTCCTAGCAGAAGATCACATCTACCTGAAATATTCAATAAACACTATGCTTTTCTTTTTGAAGAAGCTAGAAAGATACGAAAACTGAAATTTACAGGTCAAGTTATAAATGTTGGAATTTTAAGGATCAACATACGTAGAATTTAGGATATCAAAATTTAATAAAATAAATGCATTGCGTACTTGGATCTCTTTAATCAATATATTACCTAAGAATTTTCAAGGACGTTTAAGAATTATCATAATTAGGGATCTCATAACAGAACCTACAAAACAGATATAGTTAGTATTGGGATTTAGGTCTTCCTTTCCCTAATTAACTTCTGTATAATGACAACCAATGGGTTATGCCACTCTCTAACTCTCCTATTTATAGAGGTAGGGTTTTTGAATGGGAGAGGGGACTTAGTCCATTATAATAATATTTTGAGCACCCCCATCAAGTAACCCACCTTTAATTCCAGGCCTTACATCTATTCATATCACACCATATGAAATTGAGATAAAACCTAGTCCCACTTGGATCACATTACTTTATTGGGTTTTACTAGTTTTTCCGTTTGATCCAATTTTTGAAAACCAAATACAATAGCAGTAGCCCACATAAAAATTTTCAACAATAAAAGCCCTTCTGCATCAATTATTTTCTCAAAAGATAAAAACAGAAAGAAAGAATGCAAAACATATAGGTTAAAAAAAGAGGTCATAGAATGCATAGCCAAGAAAAGAGATTTAGTCATGAGATTCAGTAGAGATGCTTAGTGAAGGAAAAAGTACTAGCAAAGGGATGCCTGCTTTTCCTATGCACAACATATAGGTTAAGTATTTAATTTGCAAAAGCTGGATGGATGTACATTAGAGTTGATGTTAATAATAATTTATAAGGCATGCCTGTTTTTTCTATGCACAATCTTGAGGTTGAAGGTCTCAAATTCCTCCTCCTGAGCCTTTATTTTGCTCCCTTCTTAATTTGTGGCCTTCTTTGAGAATTAATTGTTTTTTACCTTTTTGTTGTAAAATCTTTTTCATTGCAGGTTCATGACAAATGCTATTTTAAAAAAATTTATATATGATGATTCAATTGATGCAAAAGAGTCTTTGTTGGGATGGTCTTGAAGAAATTTCAAAGCAAGAATTGATATTACTTCTAGTAATCAATTTTCAAATGAATGACCTTATTTGCATTTCTCTATAGTTTATCTTTATCTTCTTTTTTTTTTTTTTAAATTTCTCTGAGGGGTAAGAAGGTGAAGATGAAAAACACATGCAATAATTTCTTCTAGTTGATCTTGATCTATAGGATTATAAACATAGAAGTAACTTGAATATTGTAGATTCTAAAGACTAATAAGGATAATAAGGATATGGTTGGTTTGAGGGAAGAAAAGGGATGGGATGAATTTTTTTTCCAATCAAATGGTAATATTAAAATGTCATAATTTGATTAGTTAAAAAGCTCATCTCTTCCCTCCGATCTCCTTTCCTCCATTTCCCTTAAACCAAACATACTTGAAAAAAAGTTTATCAATCACAATCTCCTTAATTTCTTCTACTATGAAGATTTTTGTCTTTTAGCATAAAGACTTTTTAGCATTCTTTTATTTTTACTTCTTAATTTTTCACTCCAAGTATCATTTATGACAATGTTTGTGACTAAAAGGAATGCCAAATTTTTCTAGTAGTAAGGACTATGTAATTAGTTGATTGCTAATAAATACAAGTCTAGAAAAGAAATTCTAATGCTGGAAATAAGTAGCTAGCTAATTTAAAAAATATAGTTGGATTGGAATCTCAAATTCTTTCCTCTTTAACCAAACATACTCTAAAATGGGTTTATTTATCGCGGTCTCTTTAATTTCTTCCATTAAGAAGACCTTTGTCTTCTAGCAAAAAAACACTTTAGTATTCTCTTATCTTTATTTCTTAATTTTCCACTCCAAGTGTCATTCATCACAAAGTCTGTGACTGAAAGGAATGCCAAACTTTTCTAGCAGTAAGGACTACGCAGTTAGTTGATTGTTGATAAATACAAGTCTAGAAAATAAATTTAAATGCTGGAAATAAGTAGTTAGCTAATTTAAAGAATATAGTTGAAATGGAATCTCAAATCCTTTCCTCTTTAGCCAAACATACTCTAAAATGGGTTTATCTATGGTAGTCTCTTTAATTTCTTCCATTAAGAAGACCTTTGTCATCTAGCCTAAAGACCTTTTACTATTCTCTTATCTTTGTTTCTTAATTTTCCACTCAGAGTGTTATTCATCACAGAGTTTATGATTGAAAGGAAAACCTAATTTTTTTAGCAATAAGGACTATGCAATTAGTTGATCATTGATAAATATGAGTCTAGAAAAAAAAAAAAATTCAATGCTAGAAATAAGTAGCTAGCTAATTTAAAGAATATATTTGGATTGGAATCTCAAATCCTTTCCTCTTTAACAAAACATACTCTAAAATGGGTTTATCTATCGCAATCTCTTTAATTTCTTCCACTAAGAAGGCCTTTGTCTTCTATCATAAATACATTTTAGCATTCTCTTACCTTTATTTCTTTATTTTCCACCCAAAGTGTCATTTATTGCAAAGTCTCTAACTGAAAAGAATGCCAAATTTTTCTAGTAGTAAGGACTATGCAATTAGTTGATTGTTGATCAATACAAGTCTAAATTAGAAATTTCAATGTTGGAAATAAGTAGCTAGCTAATTTTAAGAATATAATTGGATTGGAATCTCAAATCCTATCCTCTTTAACCAAACATATTCTAAAATGCATTAATCGATCACAATCTCTTTAATTTCTTCTACTAAGAAGACTTTTGCCTTATAGTATAAAGACTTTTAAACATTCTCTTATCTTTATTTCTTAATTTTCCACTCACAGTGTCATTTATCATAAAGTTTATGACTAAAAAGAATACCAAATTTTTCTAGCAGTAAGAACTACGCAATTAATTGACCACTAAAAGGAATATTAAATTTTTCTAGTAGTAAGAATTATGTAATTAATTCACCACAGATAAATACAAGACTAGAAAAAAAAAATTACAATATTAAAAATAAGTAGCTAACTAATTTAAAAATTATAATTGAATAGGAATATCAAGTCCTCTCAACTTAAACACTTTCAAAGTTGTCAAAGCTGGAACCTCAAGTTCTTTCTTAGAATATTCTCCTACATTCATAAGTTATTTAATGAATTAATTTATTTTTTGATGTTTAACTTATTTAATTTATCTTTTTTGAATAGATTAACATTATTTACATGTATTAATTGGGGGAAGGAGAAAGAGGATTTGTGAGGTTCGAACACGTCACTTATAAGAGGTGAATAGCCCTAACTCAGGGTCCATGCCACGAAACTGAAGAAGGCTATTCAACTTATTTAATTTATTTGAACTTAGAATCAACTTTATATTAATTAATATAACTATCATATTTTGTACTAGTCAATAATTCTTTGTTACTTAGTATTTTGTCAAATTAATTATTGAATTTAATGTTTTATTTGTGTAAATCATATACATCAAATTTTAAAATTTTTGAATATTTGTTAACTATACAAATGAAAAATTATATTTGTTATTATGTATTTAATAATATAAAATTGTGTATTATAATAAAATAATTAAATATATCCAATTACATTCAAAATTAATGTAAAATAATTTATACTAATAAAATATCAAATCTAATGATTAGTTTAAAAATATAAATTATAAAAAATTATTAAATAATGTAAATATCATGTAACTTACATCAATATAAATTGACCTTTAA